CCCATGATGTAGGAATTAGAAGTTAGATAACGAGGTGGTCATCTCTCTCACAGTCATTCAACCATACTAGGTCTAGGGAGTAAGAGGAAACAAAATGAGAGGAAAGAGAGAGAGAGAGAGAGAGAGAGAGAGAGAGAGAGAGAGAGAAAGAGAGAGAGAGAGAGAGAAACACCAAGGAAGCCTATGCCATAAGAAGTACTTAACTTTTTAAAGAAAATATTAGTAGGTGCCACATGGTGCTGGCAGGTGGACCTGTTAATAAGCAAATTTTTGTAAAATATTCAAGAATAGCATTTTTCTTTCTTATTTCTTCATAGTACTAGGAATTAAACCAAGGGGCCCGTATATGCTGGGCAGACACTCTTCTTCCTTAGCTATGTGCCTAGCTTAGGGAGGACACTTTCTTATATCATCTTTCCCAGAGCATATAATTACGAACTTCTTACTAACAGATTTATTTAGCTCCCCAGTTTGACTACCACAGGGCTTGGACAAATGAAGTGGTCTCCAAAGCCTGTGGTCTGATAATTCCACCTTTAAAACACTGAGATCTTACATGAGCAACGAGTTTATGTGTACATTCATGAGCTCCATCAAACTTTGAGCGCTAACACAGAACGCTGTATGTATTTTATGTTGCATGTCTCTGGTAAGATGAAGACTTAGAGAATCTGAGCCTTTATATTTCACACATGTGGTACCAATCATAGTCCACTGACATAAATGCTTACAGAAGGCATCTGAAAGGCAAGGGGAAACGCCCTGCTTATTGTTGCTTCAGGTTTCCTTTGATTAGTCTTCAGGAAGCCGAAAGAACAAGAACCATTTATTTTAAAGTGCAGAACATGGAAACAATGGTCTGGCATTGTTTGACTGTCATGTTTGTGATCAGCAGGCGAAGAGCACTCACATTTAGCTACCCTCATTTCTTGTAAATCCAAAGATTATAATTTCCTTTTTCTTTTGATAAAGGCACTTCTCTGACGTACTCTCATTTAAAAAATGGTCCCATCTGTGAGCTAACACAAAACAGACAGGTGCTCAGGCCAGTCAAACAAACAGATTTAAAACATGACTTGATGAATATCTGCACGCATTTGAATCTCTGGGACTTTAGGATCTGTGTCCTGAAACAATCAAAGGACATGAAGACAGTGTGTGCAACTAGAAGACAGTTTCAAGGTTTGAAAATCACTCAAATCAAATATTAAAAGACAGTGGCAAAGGTTTTTGTGCCAAATAAGGAGTGGGAAAGAGCACTTGTCATAACTGAGGTGAAATGGTTATTTGGGGTGTTCATGACTAGATCTGTGATGGAATCATAGGGACAACTTAAAATCTGGAAGACCCCAGCCTCAGCAGCACAGCACACAGTGAGGCAGGAAAAGACCACTCATGCCCATTCGGGCATTAAACTAGGGTAAAAAGCTGAACAGGTTTCCATTGCCACTGCTATTCAGTTGGCTATTTTATTATTATCATCTCCAGTCAAATTTATAGCACAAAGGAAGTCTAGATTTGTGAGAAGACTAAATGTCTATAAAACAGAGCCCAAGTCTATTATAGACCCAAGTAAAAATTTTTTTTCAGTATGTGTGTGTGTGTCTGTGTGTGTGTGTAAGTGTGTGTCTGTTTTTTTTTCCTACCATGGGGCTCTGGAATCAAACTCAGCTCACCAGTTCACACACACACACACACACGCACACATACATAGGACATGAAGTTGGTAGGAGGAAGGATGTGTTTTGAGGATACAGGAAGAATTAAAGGGGGGTAAATGGAGTTGGGTATGATCATATTTTATTTCATGCATATGCAATCCCTCTTAATGTATGCAATTATAGGATTAAATAAAATTCATAATCAGAATGAAAAAATTAATAAATTCCTAAAAGTTTTAAACTTTGAAATATGTGAGTATAAAATTTACGAGTGAGTACAACTTGTGAATAAAGTTATTTTCTATAGAATTTTTAGTGATCTTTGAAATTTTTTTTAAAAATATTTTCTCAAAAGAAGTTTTAGTATGTAGAAAATTGGAATTGACAAAAAAGACAAAATTCCATGTTCCTGTTTTGAGTCATATAACCTAACTTCCAAACCTCCCAGTCTCAGATTGTATTGCCATGTTCCTGGAGAAATGAACATCTCCAGGCCAGCTGAAGGAAACAAACACTCTCAGTAGGCGTGTGGAGTTTGGAGAGTTCAAGGCCAGGACAGTGTGAAGGGAATTTTTGCTCAGATTTACCCTTAACTGGTTTCTAGAGAATATTAAGTCTTTATTGTTTTGTCTAAAAAGTCCAGTAACATACTTCAAAACTCAACAAGACTTGTTAGTCATGATCAAGACCTGCTGTGCTACACTAACTCAGACGTTTCAAAGTGTCCTTTGAAAGTTTCAAAACCCTCCAGGTTTGGGTCATGATTATTACAGAAATATCCAGAGCTTTCATCATTAAATGGAGGATAACACAAGGAGGTCCGACCTTCTCCTAAACTCATTTATGAAAATCTGGTTTAGCTGTAGTCTTGCCCCATCTTCTCTGTTCTCTGAAGGTACGGGCTCTGTCTTTGAACTCTAGAGAATAAAATTGGGGAGGGAAAGAAGATGACAGAAAAAAGGAGCTCTGGGGGAGGGGGAGGGGGAAGGGGGAGGAGAGAGGTTTCAGGGAAATGTGGGAGAAAGGAAAACCAGCTTGCATGTGAAGGAAGTCCATGGGGAAAGCAGAAAGGAGATTTGAAGAGATTCCCTGGACCTTTTTCAAGGTTCTTGAAATACAGGAGCCAAAAACATTGTTTAAAATGACTCCTTAGTGGCCCCGACTCCTCCCTATCACTGAGGGCAGTTGCCTGCTGCCTTTTACACCCTAATGGCTGTGTCCCTTAGGACTGAGAAGAAAAATAAGCAAAGGTGAAGAAGCTATCACACATGAGAGTTTTTTCCTTCCCAGAAATATAATAAATTACCTTTTATCATCATTATAAAATTTCAATTTCCCAAGAACTTTAAATTCCTTGAACTCACTGTTCTCTGTCCTGCTTTAGTCTGTTGGTTTATTTCTGTACATTCTTAAGCTAGCCTGACTACAGCAGGATTTTTTCAACCAGGAATGATTTCTACACCACACTTCCAATACAGATTAATTTGTCCATCTCTACAATTTTAGATGTCATGACAGTGGGCAGGGAAATACCTGCATCTAGTGGATAGAATCTCAGAAGTTTCCGAGGTTGACATGGTTCTTTATCATTGAGCATGGGCATAGCTGTAACCAAGATACTGGAGAAAAACCTTAAGGTGGGAACATTTCATTTTGGATCATGGTTTTGTGGTTGGTTGGCCTGAAGAGAAACTTATGGCAGCATGGTTATGGGATGACCAACATTCAACCCATGGTGGACAGGAAACAGAAAGCAGGAGACAGCAAGAGGCCAAGGGCAAGGTACCTCCAATACACCATCCCAGTGACTAATTTCCTGCAGTCAGGCCACACCTAACGAAGTTTCCAGGACCTCCCAAAATATAACCCCAAGCTGGGTAACTATCCTGGAGGAGCATTTCATATTCAATCTATAACCACAGATAATTCTTAGGAGTTAAATGAGTGTATACTTAGAAAGCACTGGGGATGTTTGCCTGACACATAAGAAATGAATACATGGTAACCATTATTATTTTACCCTAGGGTATACCAAGATCCATGCTCACCAACTCACTTCCTCTGTCTACCACAAGTCTGAGAAGCATGGTGGTTTCTCTCAAATGCTTGCCTGAGCTGTCCAATTTTTCCATGTCTATCTTGACCAGTGTTTTTTTTGTTTGTTTGTTTGTTTTTTTTTGTTTGTTTTAAGATGATGAGCAAGAGGTGCCCTATTTTTCTCCTGCTTGATTTTGGGTATTTTTGTGCCCTCTTGAGACCAGGAACATTGTTGAATGTAGCAAAGGGCAAAGAGCAGAAAGGGCATATAGTCCAAAGCACTGAAGTGGGTGGCAGAATGTTCGGCCCATATCGATGCAAAGATTTAGGTATATCCTGGGAAAAGTAAGAATTTCTGGCAGGAGAAACTCTGTGTGCTGTGATGTCCATCATTGTAATTGAATCTGTAGAAATAAGAGAAAGTTTGCATCCAAGCTAATGTGTTACTTTTGCCAGTGAATATGTGGTAGAAGTGGTGAAAGGAGATATAGGTGTCTAGTAGAAAGAGAGGCTTACCAGTTTCATCCAAGAAGAGCTATCAGAACCAGTGATGAGGATTTATGAAGGGTTTTATTGGAGGGGGTTGTTGTTTGTTTTTGCAAAAAATGGTAATTGAATCAATGAGAAGATAAAAGACTTTAAAAAGATGGTTGAGTCTTCTCTAACAAGGTATTTCTGGATGGATGGATGGATGGATGGATGGATGGATGGATGGATCAATGGATTGTGGGTGGGTGGGCAGATGGATAGGTGGGTGGATAGGTGGGTGAGTGAATAGATGAATGGGTGGATGAATGGGTGGATAGATGAATGGTAGGTGGATAGATATGTAGGTGAAGTGATGGGTGCATGGGTAGGTTGATGGGTGAATAGATGGATGATTTGGTGAGTGAGTGGGCTGGTAGATGGACGGATGGGTGGATAAATATGTGAGTGGATAGATGGGTGGGTGAGTGGGTAGATCGATGGATGGGAGGGTGGATGGCGGTGGTGGATAGATGCATGACTTGGTAGATGGACACTATATTGCATAAATAAGGTAAATTAAGGGCATACTTGTTTTCAGAGAGGCTGAGGAGAGTGCACTTTCTGATGTCTGTTCTGCTTGGAAAATATCTAAAAAGCCAAAACTACCATGAAGAAAGGAGAGTGACATGATTTCCCTGTTTTTATGTTTTATGTAGTATGAATTATGTAACAATTGCTACTCAGTTTAAGCTGACTTTGTACAATGCTGTATCCCAGTGAAATATATGAAAGCAAACTTCTCATATTGATTATCCATTGATTTTACTCCTTCAGATCATAAGGCAAATGGATTTTCTGCATCAAAAGACCACCGTCAAGAAGTTACAGTAATAGAGTACCAAGGTATAGTATCTTACAGGTTTAAGTAGATTGATCTGTTTACATACTTCATGACAATGTTACTGTCTATTTTTAGATCTTCTGTGTACTCCTCTCTCTCTCTCTCTCTCTCTCCCTCTCTCTCTCTCTCTCCCTCTCTCTCTCCCTCTCTCTCTCTCTCTCTCTCTCTCCCTCCCTCCCTCCCTCCCTCCCTCCCTCCCTCCCTCCCTCCCTCCCTCTCTCCCTCTCTCTCTCTCAACCCTCTCCCTCCCTCCTCCTCCCTCTCCCTCTCTCCCCCCTCCCTCCCTCCTTCTCCTTCTCCCTCTCCCTCTCCCTCCCTCCTTCTCTCCCTCTCCCTCCCTCCTTCTCTCCCTCCCCCTCCCCCTCTCCCTCCCCCC